GATTCTGATATTTTAGAGAAATGCTCGATACGAATTGGTGAACCGTTGCCGAGATCGAAAATGTACAAGTGGAATCCGATTCGTACGTGTACGTGGATCAACATCGGAGAATTTAAACCGCGGTATATTTTCAACAAGCGCGAAATTGGCGAAACGATGACTTAAACACCCCCCAATTTCGCGTGTATTTCACCCTGGTATAATATTCAGTTTGATGAAAGAACAAAAAGTCGCCGACATTCGCTGGAAAATGCACGGCGAGCACTGCCTTCTATTAATTCGTAAGCGTAATGGATAATTTGGTCAGAGCCTTCTCTTCTCGAATTGACCATTTTCGTTTCCAAGGTCAATTAGGGAGAATTCACTGTACCCGAAAGAATTGGAATAACGGCCAACCATGGCATAAATCCCTCTTAATTTGTCGTCCGCTACCTCATACAAACGTCTCGGTCCGAGCCAGCTTGCAGTAATGTACCGCGAAACAGCCCGGAATATTCGTAAGCGTCCCCAGGACGACATTTTAATTTCGCGCGGGGTGCGAGGAGGTTCTCGCGCGGCGGTGTCGCGCGGCCGTTTCAGAATTTTTCAAGATGCAAGACAGGAGCCGCGGTAACCAGCGAATCTGTTCTCGCAGCGGCGATGTGTGAATAAATAAAAACCGTGGGCCAGGACAGAGAGCGAGAGAGGGAGAGGAGGAGGAGGAGGAGGAGGTGGTTGGCGAAGTTTTTGCGCTGAATAGGGGCGGCCGCGAGCCAGAGAAAAGAAAGACTTTCCCGAATCGTGAAAATCCTGGCATACGTCCGTGCTATTTCATTTGGGATCGGGTTAAATGGAAAAAGAACCGAATAAAGAAAGACGAGATCCTGTATGCCGGGAAACGTATTAGTCCCACAAGGATACCCCCGGCGCGGTTTCAAGAAATACATGCATACATTTATCTTTCTCTGCGCACTTAACTCTCCGGCCCGTTTCACGTGTGTCGCGGCCTCCCCGGGAATCCAATGGCTTATTCATTAAAACACGATGGAAATAATTCTAGTTTCAAGCCGGCCGCGCGATTTTTATTCAAGCATTTTTATCCGCTACCGCGATCTTACTTTGATACGGGATTTACGATTCGCTGGCGAAATCGCGGCCGGAAGTTTACGTTATTACGCGACGCAATTGTACCGGCTCGGTTTCGTTGTCTTCCGAAATTTTTAGACGGTAGAGTGAACCTTTCTGTGCAAGACAAAAAAAGATTCGAGTCGATAGGACGCCGCGTTCCGGAGACAAAAATTCTCGAGTACAAGCATGCTCGATTTACGAACGGAGAACGATGGACATTCGGAAGAGAGTTGTATTGTTTAAACAAATGGGAAATCGACGAGACGATGACTTAAACCTCCCTTGATTTAGGGTGCTTTACATTATGAAACAGTCGATTTCGAAGGGAATCGCTGTTATCCATTTTGGAACAACCCCTCGTGAAGAATACACGTTACGAAATTCGCGTAAAATCTGTCGAAAAACACCGCAAGTGGTTTCAAAGATAAAAATTCATCAAATCCGCCGAGACGTATGTACGTACAACGCGGGTAATTCTGAATATTGGGTAGCGCGATGTTTGTTCCCAGGTAAAACGATCCACTTCCGCGATTTTGTTTTGATATAGGAGATCCAATCCGGTGGGAAACGCCGGTGGAGGGATGTTTTTATTATTTAGAACAAGGTAACCACTGTAGCCATCTTCATTCCTCGAAACTATTCCTTAAATAACCCCGGTCACGTACCGGCCGTAAATCTCGATTTCTCTGTGTCCATTAAGCTCATTTTTCTTTTGTTCTCCCCGTTTCGCGGTGCCCGTCGGCCTCTCAATTCTGCTTCTTGTTCCCTCCGCTTCTTCTTCCTCTCCCTCCCTCTCTCATAACCGTATTTATTTACGCGACCGTCGCGCTCGCTGAGAAGATTTATAAAAATTCATCGCCGAGCCGCGCGGCGCCGAATAAACAGCCAACGTGAAAACACGTTGTGCATGTGCCAGAGAATTCGAATTTCACTCGCGGCGGCGTATTACCGACACGGATCGACGCGAGCGCGCGGCCTCCTCGCGAAATTTATGTGCTCGAAGAGTTTATAACGCGCTAAACCATTTACAAGGAGCATGCAACGTTCCCGGCCGGTCCCACCGGGGACCCGGTCCCGGCTCGTTCGGGGACCGTCATTTTATTTCCATCGATCGGACACGTTCGGCCGATCAATTAAACCGTACGCGAACGTTCCGTGGTGCGGCACACTTTTTAAAATTAAACGTCAGAAGCCGCTCGGGGCATGCGAGGGTGGGGCATACCTTGAAATGTTAACGCGCGATTCACTATTTTATTTCAGACGATTACTCGAAGAGGAATCATTGAAGAGGAGGCATCGGTTCCGGTAATCGGATGGTTACAGTGGTAGCGATAATGTTGGCGACAACTACAGTTGCGATAATACTGGTTACCATAATGAATTTTATGGTAATTATTAATTTTATTTTTTTTTATTAGTAGATAGAGAGCGTTATTGATATTGGAGACTGTTAGTATTAACGTTGCTGCTATTGCTGTTGTTTATTGGGCGACGATAATGAGCGTAATTTAAACAGGAGTGACTATAATTTCATTGAATTACATAATGTTAGTGACAACGACAGTTGCGATAATACTGGTTACCACATTTACTATTAGTGGATAGACAGCGTTATTGATATTGGAGACTGTTAGTATTAATGTTGTTGCTATTGCTGTTGTTTACTGGGCGACGATAATGAGCGTAATTTAAACAGGAGCGACTATAATTTCATCGAATTACATAGAGATGATATATAGAATTAAGTCGAATTCGTTAGAGAGAATTTAATTATAGAATTGTAGAATTGAATTGTACGATCAGATCGAATCCATTGTGGTACAATTATAGAATTACATGCATTGTACCTATTATAACAGAATTATAGAATTAGGTTGAGTCCATTGAGACGATATTATAGAACTGTGCCGGAATTGAATTATAGAAATGCATTGAATTGAATGCCATCAATGGAATTACAGATTCAGATCGAATTCGATATAAACCGAATTATGGAATTACATCGAATGAAATTCTGACAATGGAATTACAGGTATATAAATTGAATTATAAAATCACGTGTACGCGGAGCACTCAGCCGAATGAAAGGAAACGAGGCAAAAATCATATCAACGGTATAACCCTAACAACAGCAACCATAATAACACCATCGACGATAATACCTTGCATTACATTCGTATATACACGTACATCGTTATTATCATGATTAAACATCGTTACAAGCGACTACGTATCATTATCAACGAATATGCAATAACAGAATATATAATAATATCCTCGTTCATTAATATAAACACCGGGAACGAGGCGCGGAGCATAATTTACGCGGACGCGTGCTACAAAAATTCCATTAAAAAATCGCGGCCTGTTAACCCCTTGACATACCACCGTCTTCTTCGTAGTTACTGTAATTAGACATTTTTCGATTGCAATAATTTCTTAGAAGGGAAAGAAAATTAATGCTTATTGTGTGTGCCTAAATTTACTTGAACGCTTAAATATTGATGACAAGAGATTAGAATTTTATTTCTCAGAAATTTATTTATTATTATTATTATTAATAATAAATTTAGTTATTTATTATCAAAAATTTTCATTACGAGTCGGACTCGTCAAATTACGGCAAGGGGTTAAAGCAGAAGAAAAAGAAAACAAAAATGGTAAAATCGCGAGCGATTAGCCGACTAGCGTGACCTTGCAGACGACGCCTGGACCCGGGGTTCGCGTGGAGGAAGCGAGAGGGGGCGCCAGCGTGTACAGCGAATACGCGCGCGGCGCGCTGTTGTGCGGAGCGTACGGTTTTCGGCGGCGTCCCTCGGGAGAAACTGTGTGTCAAAGCGAGGGCAGAACAAGAATCTCCCACCGGAATGCGGCTTCATGGATTTTCGCCCGGAATTTCGAGCAGGAAAATACAGCTTTGCAGAAGTTGCCGCGCGGTCTCGGCCATCCGAATTTTATTAAGATCCTCCTAAGAGAACCGGAACGACGAGGCGAGCCGGCGCTGCCCACCTCCCGAGGAATTCCAATTTGAGTGGCCTTCGAATACCGTATGNCCATCAATGGAATTACAGATTCAGATCGAATTCGATATAAACCGAATTATGGAATTACATCGAATGAAATTCTGACAATGGAATTACAGGTATATAAATTGAATTATAAAATCACGTGTACGCGGAGCACTCAGCCGAATGAAAGGAAACGAGGCAAAAATCATATCAACGGTATAACCCTAACAACAGCAACCATAATAACACCATCGACGATAATACCTTGCATTACATTCGTATATACACGTACATCGTTATTATCATGATTAAACATCGTTACAAGCGACTACGTATCATTATCAACGAATATGCAATAACAGAATATATAATAATATCCTCGTTCATTAATATAAACACCGGGAACGAGGCGCGGAGCATAATTTACGCGGACGCGTGCTACAAAAATTCCATTAAAAAATCGCGGCCTGTTAACCCCTTGACATACCACCGTCTTCTTCGTAGTTACTGTAATTAGACATTTTTCGATTGCAATAATTTCTTAGAAGGGAAAGAAAATTAATGCTTATTGTGTGTGCCTAAATTTACTTGAACGCTTAAATATTGATGACAAGAGATTAGAATTTTATTTCTCAGAAATTTATTTATTATTATTATTATTAATAATAAATTTAGTTATTTATTATCAAAAATTTTCATTACGAGTCGGACTCGTCAAATTACGGCAAGGGGTTAAAGCAGAAGAAAAAGAAAACAAAAATGGTAAAATCGCGAGCGATTAGCCGACTAGCGTGACCTTGCAGACGACGCCTGGACCCGGGGTTCGCGTGGAGGAAGCGAGAGGGGGCGCCAGCGTGTACAGCGAATACGCGCGCGGCGCGCTGTTGTGCGGAGCGTACGGTTTTCGGCGGCGTCCCTCGGGAGAAACTGTGTGTCAAAGCGAGGGCAGAACAAGAATCTCCCACCGGAATGCGGCTTCATGGATTTTCGCCCGGAATTTCGAGCAGGAAAATACAGCTTTGCAGAAGTTGCCGCGCGGTCTCGGCCATCCGAATTTTATTAAGATCCTCCTAAGAGAACCGGAACGACGAGGCGAGCCGGCGCTGCCCACCTCCCGAGGAATTCCAATTTGAGTGGCCTTCGAATACCGTATGTACGACGAGGAATCCCGAAATCGCGGATCGTTTCTCCTTCCTTTTTTTTTTCGCCAGTTAGACAAAAGGGACGCGACCGGGCCCCGGATATTACGGGCGGCTTTAGACGTTACGTGTGTCGTGCGGCGACTTTCTAGGTTAATCGCGCGGCATTTATCTCCACATCTAACGTCGACGCGCGCTGCAACGCGCGATCTCGATCAACGTTAATTTCGCGTTCAACTCTTTCGTTTCGAGGGGCACGCTTGTTATTTTATTATCGGGCCACGCGTTTCTGACCGGGCCGAACGGTTTAGCGACGTTTCGGAATTTAACCTTGGTTAGAGTACGATTATCGATTAGAGACCGATGCAGTGAGAAATAAAAAAATTCAGTCGAATTAAATCGAATTATATAATTGAATTAGGAAACGGTGGAATAATCGGCGAAATTTAGAACTGAAGAAAAATAAAATAAAAAATGAATAAGGATGGAACAGTTAACAGCAGAATGAAACAGAATCTCATAGAGTCGAATAAGGATGAATTACATAAACCTTAACAGAATTTCAATGATAATTAACATGATATAACGTATCATATGAATCGAATTAATTACAATTGAATGGAATTAAATTATTATTTTTTCGATTCGGGACGAGTGAATCGACAGATCGTTAAGAACGTATCGCTTACCGCTGTTTATAGAAGGAAGCAGTGGTTCGAAGCGGTTTTAGAAGAAGGATGACATTTTCGAGAAAGGCGGGAGAGTCACTGTTCGCGCCAAAAGGCGCGTCGTAATTGCGGAGGCAGCCGAACAGCCAGCGACGGGAACCGAACACTGCGAATGAGACGTAGAGCGACATCTGTGCAGGGTGAGTCAATGTCAGATTATCAAGCTATTATTTTGAATGTCGTGTGTACTATGTGTGTATCAGTTGACTTGAAACATTGGACGAGTCATGTTGTGTCTGCTGGTAATGTGTTTGATTGTGTGGGAAGAAAGTGGCATGATTCTTAATAGGAGTAATATTTTTTGTGCTTGAATTGTTCTATATGGAACACAAATTATTTATATTTTAGGGCTTGGGAGGTACGAGGAGAAACTATGCACAGAGGATTAGAGTACTAATGAAACCGAGCGAGGTTTAATAATAGCCATCGATAGGGTTCCAGAGGATTCAACAGGGTTCAAGTATATATAATTCAATAGGGATCAGTGGAATTGTACATATATCAGTGGAGGTCAGAATTGAATTAGATACAGACAGGATGTAATTGAGGATCATTAGTATTCTCTTGGAAGGGCATAGCAGAGTAGAAATGGGTTTCGATTAGAGACCGATGCAGTGAGAAATAAATTCGGTTGAATTAAATGGAATTATAATTGAACTAGAAAACACAGTGGACTAATCGGTGAAATTTAGAACCGAAGAAAAATAAAAAAAATAAATGAATAAAGATGGAACAATCGACAACAGAATGAAACAGAACCTCATAGAGTCGAATTAGGATGAATGGAATTACATAAACCTTAGCAGAATTTCAATGGTAATTCACATGATACAACGTATCGTATGAATCGAATTAATTACAATCGAATGGAATTAAATTATTATTGAACACTGTACAGTATTGAAAGGGAATGAATAGAATTCGGCAGAATTGAATAGAATCGTATGGAATGTACGTGAATGAAAACGAAAATAAATGAGATTGAATAACATCGACCAGGAATCAGCGAGATTGAACAAAAAAAATCGAAGAGAATACGCGACGATGATCAGCAAGAGATCTCGCTAAACGCAATCACTGAAAATCGATGAAAATATTAACCCGGAGAGAATCGGCAGGATCAAAAGCAAATGCTGAAAAATTAAAAATCAAAATCGAACCTCGAAACACTCGCTGTCACCGAGGAACATATCGACCGCCATACCTTTCGTTGTCGCGTTTCTCGGCAGATTAGGTCGAACAATGAAGGATCGATGCCGCCGCCGTGCTCGCGGGCCGAATCGGGCCAGGCTAGGCCGGGCCGCTACGGGCGAAAAGAATGGAATTCCATAAACTGATCGGGCATCGCGACAGTTGTTGTATGCAGCCGCTTAAATCAGCGGCACGTAGACAAGGTTGATCGTGCGTGAACAAAGCTGGCGGCCGGTGTAAATCAGTCAGCTCTCCCTCCCTCTTTATCCTCGCTTTCTCTCTGTCGATCCACTTCCTTTCTCTCTCTCTCTCTCTCCGACTTCGCTTTCTTTCTCGCATTACTCTCTCTCTGTCTCTGTCCGGCTGTTCACTGGTGCCGGGATTAGAGTTTCTTCCGTGGAATGGCTCGGTTACCCGGGCCGCAGCGAGCAAACTCTTTCGACTCTTTTCTCCGGTGATCACCGTCGGTATCGCCTGCTTTTCTCTCTCTCTTTCTCTCTCTCTCTTCCGTCCCTCTTCCTTCGAGCTCTCTCTTTCTATCGCTTTCTGTCGGCTCTTTCGAAAAACCGTCTTTCATGCGGGGAAACCGTTAGCTCGTCGTCGTCGCCGTCGACGTCGTCATCCTCTGTAGCTGGCACGCGTGTCCCGGCGACGACTGCGAGAAGAGGGTCCGGAATGAGAAGGAGAGAGGAAAAGAGAGAGAGACGGGAAGGGAGTGAGAAGCGAGAGATGAAAGGGGGGCACATCGGGGACCTCGATTCTATCCTAACGTAATTCAGTCTCCGGAGCTTTTCGCGGAACAATGGCTAATAATTGCCGACTACTTGTACAAGAGGACGTGATGAACGCGGCAGACGGCACCGTCTGCCCGGCGAACACTGCGCACGGATAAACGTATCCGCCGAGGAAACGAAGTTTGCGAAACGGGGACGAGTCTTTTGGGTATTATTCCCTCCCGCGATCTACCCTTCTCCGTTTCCCTCCTCCTCCCCCCCGATGCTTTTCTTCCCGTCGCTGCCGCCGCCGCCGAAGAACCGTTCAACTGAAAGAAATAATAACTAGTTCGACCGAGTTCAAGCCGCAGAAACGAATCGATAGATATTATTTACCGCACAAAGGGAATCCACCTGAAACTTCCCTTGCCGCCACTTTCCCGGAACACCACCCTTGCTTCGAACTGTTCCGGAGACTGTACTGTAACTACTAAACTAGTTTACCGACGTGACCGTCGTCTGCGATCGACGCGATCTTTGTGTCACGCTGCGACACTCGTTGCCGTTGCGGCCGAGTCGAGGTTTTCGGTTTTTGTCCGTGTGATTTAAGATCTTCTTTTTTAATGGATTTTTCTTCTCTTCTCGATTACGTCAACGCCTTGCGCACCGGTCTAAGAATCCGAGGTAACTGAAAACTGTTGGTAATTATGAAAGTGTTCCTTCGAAAGGAACAATTTTTCTTTCGATAAATGTCCGCGACGATAGAAGCGTTTATCTTCTATTTCGATGCTGGCCTTTTAACCGGCCAGCAATCGTAATCGATCGCCGCGATTTCTCTCTCTCTCTCGTCCGTCGTCGAAGGAACGCCGACGTCGAACGAATAATTATAACAACAATCGGCGGGATCGGTTGGAACGCGCAGGGCATATTTGCATTGTAATCAGCGATTTCTCCAGATCCGCAATTCTCATGCAAATCGAACCGCCCGGCTTCCTGTTTCTTTCCCTCGATCCGCGGGATTTCGCAACCGTGCGCGACGATAGCGATCGGCTAGAAAAATGGAAACACGTTCTAACGAATGCCGGTCGGTCAGCGGTTCCGCGTATCCCGTATCGCGGCGCTCGTTAAACTCGAACGATCTTCCCTGGGTAAATTAAAAGTTCCTCGCCGGAATCGATTACGCTGACACACTTTCTCTTAAACATAGGAAAACGCCTCTTTCCCGGCCGTTCACGAGTGACATTTTCATTCCCCCTCCACCCCTGTCCCTTCTGCCCGAATGTCTGTTTCTTTACCAAATATTGGTCAGAAATTTTAAGACGATGGACGTTCGTTTCGATTGCAGGACCGTTGTTTATTCGGATTCGTCAACCTAAATGGATTTGTTATAAAGTACAGTTTTTCAGCTTTTATTCGAGCCCTCGCAAGTTAGAAAGTTCCTACGGGAAAGCATCGAAATATCGATTTGAAGCAACTCTGGAAGATCGGACCCTAATCGACTTAAGAATATGGGGTTGCTTCAATTTATTTTCTCAATGCTTTCTCGTCGAAATGTTTCGACGTTCGAGGACTCAAATTAAAGCTGGAAACTCGTACTTTACGATAGGTTCGCTTGGGTTCGTGGAAAATTGTCGCATCATTTCGAAAATCGCGAAGAACTAATCGGTAACCAAGTAGAGTTACGTTTTTTGCGACTGCGAGATCTATGGACACGGAGATGCTTCGAAGTAATTTTTCGGTACTTTCCCACGAAGATATTTCAACTCTCGACGTCTCAAATCGAAGCTGAAAGATCGTATTTTACGACAGATTGATAAAGTTCCGTAAATGATTTCGATATCGCGTGGAAATTTAAAAAATATCTCGTCCGAATAGTCCCCGAAAACACAATTTCAGAACATGCGGTAGCTTCGAATGAATTTATCTCTGCTTTTCCGCGGGAATTCTCGCACTTTCGAGGTCTCAAATTAAAGCTGGAAGCTCTCGCTTCGCACTCGAACGTACTCTATGCGAATGCTGATGCGTGCGTTTGCGTGGGCGGACGGTCGAAAGGGTGACGGTTCGAGGCGCATAAACTTGCCGGTCACGAAAGGAATCGAAACGGCTCGCCCGGTGAGATACGGGTTCCCGGAGCGTTTTCGCTTCCGAATCAGAGGTTTCTCATCTAATATCAAGTTTTTCTCCGCGCCTCCCCCGACCGTGGAAATGTCATCTTGTCCCCGGGCCAATTTTCGCAGTGTATCGACGCCGACGCGTCGCGGCGGCCGTCGCCCCGGCGAGCCCGAGATCCTCTCGATTTCGGACAACGCATCAAACAAACCCCCGGAGAACCGGCCCTGAACGAACCGCGAACCTATCGCCGGGAAAATTTCCTTTGTCCTCATTTTTTATAGATCCCCCGTGCACAGGGACCCGGGCCAGAACTATGATCGAGTCGGACGTCCCCCGATTATGGCACGGGCCGGCCGGTGCCGCCGTCGCCCCCGGTCGGCTGCAGACGGAAAGTTCGGACGGTCTGTTAGCCCGTCGATTTTTATTTATTGCGCGGCCCGGTCCCTGGCGGAAAGTTTTGATTAGAAGTGGGCGGAATTGCATTCTCATTCGGTTTTATCCGGTTCTATTAACTTCGTTTGCGCGAGTGGGCCTCTCGCCGCTGCGAATGTGTGCGCACGCACTCGAAATACCGGGAGGAAACGACGAAAGAATTATTGTTCAGCTTTGTTTCGTCGGACACGTTCGTCGAATACGGAAACAACGGTAACGCGTGCTAAGTCCTACGGCGAATAATTGCCATTTTTTTTGTTTTGGTTTTTGCGCCATCGGTTTACAGATAACGTTAATTCGAGAGAGAAAAAGGCACGATCGTCGCGCGACGAAATTCAATCGCGAATGAATAACATTAGATTGAAAACGAATGGGGCGGAATTAGATGTTAATAGGTTTCGATTAGATATTAATAGGCTCGAATTCGAAACGAATAGGCTCCGATCAGAAATTAATAGATTTCTATTCGGACTTGATAGGATTCGATTAGAAATTAATAGAATTCAATCAGAGGGCGAATAGAACGCTGTTAGAATTTAATGCCGTTCAATTGGGGATTAACATAATTCGATCAGAAATGAATAGAATTCTATTAGAACGTAATTGGATCCGGTTAAAAATGAATAGGACCGAATTAGTATTATACAGGATCGAATTCGCCACATAATTGGATACGATCAACGACGATTCGATAAGAAGAAATTCGCTTCCAGTGTTTCTAGGCGTCAACGATAACGCGGCGCCGATTTGTCAAAATCGAAATATTGAAATCGAAATACAAATCCTAATGTCTCCCTAACTGACGCTCAGATTGGGCACTTTGGAAAGAGGAGATACGATTGTTAGAGCCCTGCAGCTCGTTTTTTAATAGTTGTCGACAATTCGTAACTATAAAAACGAATCGCGAGACTCGAATAATCGTCTCTCTTCTCCCTAAATTGTCCATTTTTGAGGACAATCCGAGCGTCAATTAGAGAGACATCACTGTACAGTAATGTTTCCCTAACTGACGCTCAGATTGTGCACAGAAATGAGCAATTTAGGGAGAAGACGAGCTGAAGACGAGAACTTCGAGCCCTGCAGCTCGTTCTTATAGTTGTCGACAATTCGTGATTATAAAAATGAATCGCAAGGATCGATCTCTCTTCTCCCTAAATTGTCCATTTTTGTGGACAATTCGCGCGTCAGTTAGAGAGACATTACAGCGATTCGAATCTCGTCGCCGTCGATCGTTCAATTACACCGAGGCACCTCGAAAAAAATGGGAGACAAGGCACCGCAAGGGTGTTCGAGGAATCGGGTGCCGCGGAAACGAGCTGATCGAGGGCCAGGCCGGCATTAAATATGGCGGGCATAATTACTCTTTGATAATCTGTTCGGACAACGGGTCGGCCGGGCGTGTATCGGTAAAGAGATAATTTAGCGACAACGAGCAAAAATGCGAGCGGCTTTACGAGGGCCCGTGTAGCAGTTTCCGTGGCCGGCGGCCGAAACAATGCCTAAAAACCGAAATGCTTTATTCCGCGGTGGGTCATTCCGATAACCATGACGTATGTAGCTAACCGCACACGACGTCGACGTGTGTGTGTGTGTGTGTGCGTGTGCGTGCGTATTCGCGCGTGTGCGATGGTTGTACACGATGCGGTGCGTAAATGTGCAACATGTACCCTCGCGCCGGTGCTCGCGGCAGCATATTGCAAGCGGAGGCCGGCCACGGCCCGTGTATCGGTCTTCGCGTGCGCGTGCAGGTGCAAGTAATAAGCCCAGCTGGACATATTCCGCAATCTCCTGTGCAATCTCTTATCGCCGGCATAAATTGTCCTCGCCGCGCCGCGCCGCACCCCGCCGCTTCGCGGCCGGTGTATTAGGGGGGCGCAGGGGGAGGGACACTCTGTTTCCGAATGACCGCTAATAAGACAGTCTTCGACGGGTGGGGCTGTCGGTGCGGCCGCGTTTTCGATTTCCGTTCGAACGCGGTGGTTTCGTTTTCGCGGAACCGCGCGCAGATACGCCGTTGTTCTCGCGCGAGTATTGGAGACATTTTCGTGTCATTCCGCCTCTTACTGGCTGTGAGGGGTAGTTGATGTATACAGGGTGGCCTGAAATTATTGCGGAAGCGAGAAACGACGGGTTCCTGAGGTTATTCGAAGGAACTTTTTCCTCGGCGAAAATGCGATCCGCGGATACGTTTGCGAGTTTTCAACGAGAAACGGGGACCAATGGGAGGCGAGATCAGCTGACGCGAAGCTGCCGAGCCACTAGTAGAATTTACTAACTGTTTTTTACTAATTTTCACTCATTTTTGCTAAGTAGGATTTAATGAATCTCGATATAATTGAATAGAACCTGATAGGATCGAATAAGACTCAAGATCAAATCTTGAATTAACACTTGCTGCGATCGTCCGAAATTAACCGGACTCCCGTAAAATTGATCAAATTCTTGATTAAACTTGTCCGGGGAATTGAACAAGACCCGCAATAGACAATATCAATAAAATCGCGCGAAATTATAATAAACAATCTGGTTCCGAATCCAACGAAATTGACTGTATAAAATTGAACGAAGCTCCGTCGGATCGAAAACAATTAAGAAAAAGACGGAAAAGAAGCGGAAATACGAAAGTGTGATCTAAGAAGAAGAAGAAGAAAGAGATTAAGAAAAGAAGAAAAAGAGAAGCCGAGGGTGAGAGCCGAGAGGAAGAGAGAGAGAGAGAGAGAGAAAGAGAGAGAGCTGCGATAAAGAAAGATCGTCGTTAAAAAGAAAGAGAGCCAAGAAAAAGAAACGTGGAAGCAAGAAAGAGAAAGATAGCCTGGAAAAGGAGGAAAAAGACGGCGGAAAAAGGAAGAGAAAGGACTCTCGAGCGAAGAACTCGGGGTAATAAGACGAGGCGGGGCCTTCCGGAAGCCGACGTAGCTCGGAGACCGGCTATCTTAGATATAAAATGATTACGAGGTCCGTTAATTTCTGCCGCTCGGGCCCCGCTGCTTTTTCCATGCTGCGACAGCTTTTAGCAGCGGGATATCAGCATCGCAAATATGTTTCCGGGGTCGCGATCAAACAGCCGGAAGTGTTCGGTAAACG